TGCTATGCATTAGACAACAGGGAGTGCTGCATGAATGTAAAGCTCCCCAGAATACTCTTGAGGCTGTGACAGACACTGGCATGTCCCTTGTTGGACATAACCCAATCTGTTTGAGAATCCAGCTAATGAACTCCCATGAATTTATTTTTTCTAACCAGTGGAATCTAGTTAGCATCCAGGCTTGAATGCCAAGGTCATTAGGCACACTCCTGAAGCTGGGAAAGAGGGTTTGACTGCCTGCCTGACCTGCTTGCTCTCACTGCACAGGCAATTCAAACCCACTTTTCCCCCAAACAGGTTTCCAAGACACATTTAAACCCCTCAGCAAACTGGCAGATATGAGCAACAGGCACACAGTGAAACATAACAGCGTTACTGAGCAGCTGTAAACATGCCATTAATTTTACATGGAAGGAAGATGCTCAGGAGACCACTGGCTAAAGGAAAACAGAGCTTCCCAAAGACAGAGCTCTTCTGCTCTCTTGCCTTTGCAGTGGCTGCCCTTAGAGAGGGGAGTGCTTCTTTATGTTGAGAAAAGCAGGATTCTCCATGAAGCATTAAACTCCCCTGGCACAGAGATGTTCCTCTAACAAAGTTAATAAAAATGGCTGAAAACAGCAAATCACTCAGCTCCTGTCTCTTTATAGATTTCTGTTCCAAATCATTCTCCTCTGGGGGCTGTGGAGACCTGCCAGCTAATTGTGTGGACAGGATGGCTCTAGGCTTGTCTCTGATCAGAGGATGATGTTATTATTTCTTCATAATTGTTTACTGTATAAAATCAACATCGTTCTCTCCAGAGGAAGATTGCTCAGAGTTGCTCATGAGAGCGTTTCAGCTCAGTTGTGGGCCTGCTGTCGTCTTGACAACATACTCATGTCAAGGTTAATGTCACATCAAGGCACTGTAAGTACCTCCTTCCCTTGCAGTTATTCTTTCAACTGTAAGGGTAGTAATGCAATTTAAAGTTTCTCCATTCTTGGCTGACCTTTAGGAGTATTGATTGCAATTACACAAAGCGAAATTGCAAGAGAGAAATTTCTCTGAGTACTGTGGGAGTAATTGTAGTTGTGGAGAAAACCCCTGGATTTTGGGGTGTGTTCAGAAAGCACAGCCCTGGAAGCAATCACCTCTACATCTTGTCCTGGCTGAGAGAGGGACTCTGCCCATGACCCCTCCTGTGCCACCTGAGTTTCAAATGGGAACTCTCCCATTGCAGCTCCATCTGTACAAGTGAGCTAATGCTTTTTATTAAGTTCATTGGGATTTCATAATTCAGTGTTCATGAAGAACAGAACTGCAAGGCTTTCTGAGCTACTGCTACGTGCAAAACTTCCCTAAATCTTGGAAAACAGAGTCCCAATGCAGAACCATGAGACCACACTGAAAGAAAAGATACAGCTCTTTTTTTACTACAAAGTAAATAATTTAAGAATATTCTTGCTCACTGTCTTGGAACCATCCTTTATGTGTCCCTGGGCAGAGCCTGAGGCAGGAAGATTTGCATGTCAACAGCTATTTTGTTAACTAGTTCAGAAATACCAAGGGCAGCAAAGCACCTGCCTGTGCTGGTGCCCTGGGCAAGACACTCCTCCCTGTGTTATTCTAATACCAGTCAGGCTTATGTAACTGATTAAATAATAAAAAGTACATCTCTGCTGCTTGAGGTACATGCATGATCTTACAGGCACACTCCCCATGCTGCTTAAGCTGTGACTTGGGCTCGGTCAGATTTATTCCTGCACAGTCTCTGTCCTCCCCAGGGCCACTGCCAGCCACTGAGTTCCCAACATCCAACAGAGCCCAAACGCTATATTCTTCTTGAAAAATATGTGGATGCTTTAATTGTCTCCCTGGGTTTCTATGACAACCACAGCAACATAAACAGCCTTGCTGGCAGCCACAGGAGACTGAAATCTCTGCTCTCTTCCCTCCTCTCCCCAGAACTTCGCAATGTAGAACATATCATAACCAAATAAATGCAATTAACAATGGAGGTGGTATCCAGTACACCTGGCTGGCACTGGGGACATGCCTTGGAAATAAAATTACACTATTTTATAGTAACAGTCAAAGCATTGCCCACTACAGCTATCAAAGTACCTTGGGACCAACAGTGAAAAACAGTGCAAAGCTATAAATACATAAATAGAAGTTTTCTATGTCTGTCTGCATGGCTGCAGAGAGCTTTAAAAAATACATGACAAGGCCTTCTCTGTTAGTGCTTCTGAGCACCTCTCACCTTGGTGGTAGGTTGCACATCAGGAATAGATAAGCCCCTGAGTAAATGTCAGGACAGTTGGGGTTCAGATGGCTGCAGCTCCCAGCTTTCCAGCAGGAAAATCATAAACAAGATGTGATCACAGCAGCAGCAAAATGCTCTGCATGGCACTGTCAGCCCGAGTCCAGGAGAAGCTGCTTCTCTAACTCTAACTCTGTTCATCAACATCATGAGAGCTGCTGCTTCTGCTAATGCTCAGACATCTGAGGTCCAACAAGTCCCAAACAAATAGCTGAGAAACAAATTTCTTCTCTCCTGAGCAAAATTAATGGCCAAATAGATTTTCCATGAGCCAAGGGTAACCCTGGAGGCTTTAAGCCATTTAAACTCATTCATCTAACACCGGATGCATGAAGCCATCAGGACACACAGGAGTTACAAAAGAGGCTGCTGATAATTACAGCTATCAGCTGTCCACAGCCCACAAAATCATCTCTCCAATTATTATATTACTTTCTGATCGCCATAATGCCATGTATATTTTTTAAGTAATAGCCCCTGTATGTCTAGCTTGTGACAAAGTAACTTTGTGAAAGAAAGGGCAGCAATTTCCTTCCCCGGTGCTGTAGTTTGTCTCAGGCATTGTTCTCCCTGTGCTGCCAGGGAGATACAGATGCCTCTGGCTGCTCTGAGACTCAATTGGAGATGGAACTGTGCTGTTTTCCCTGCAGCAATCTTCCCTTGGCAGGGAAATCCTATGGCTTTGTGGGACTGATTTTGCTGTAAAGCAGACTCAGGATTTGAGCAAATGGAGCTGGGGGTGGTATGAGAATGTGATCCCCAAAACTCTATGGGGATTCCCCATGACCAGTAAGCAGAAATACACCTATCTGTGAAGAGAAGGAGCAGAAGGAAGAGACAGCAAAATGCTTCCCTCTTCCACAGGGCTTGGAAGGCACAGAAGACACCACCTGACATCGCAAAGCTTGAAGGATCAGCTTTTTGAAAACGAAGGCAAGACAGAAATAAATGAAATAAACAATAGAAATGGTGAGGAATATTAAAAAAAAAGAAATGTGGATATTTTATTGGTTTTCCATCTTTAGGCAGGACTTTCATAGTGGTGACTACCAGTATAACATATATAAAATTGTTTCATTTCCTTTTGAAGGATTTTAAGCAGGGTCCTCATGGTATGGAATTCTTGCACATGGAAAGACCGCATTTTGCAATATGAAAAGGAAATATTTATTCTCCCCTAATTTGCTCCAACAGGCTGTAGAGCAAAGAGTCTACATGATACTGAATCATGAATATGAAATAGTTGCATATGCCCACATTTACTGTGCTAAAAAATAGCACTGGCTAATGAAATAAAGTTTAGTTTTATCTGTCAACTATTCATAACAATTTTTTGTTTGCATGTATGTCTTTCTGCCTTCTAGTGTGATTCTGCTAATTACAGACAGGCTACTTAAAACTACAGCACATAGAAAATGAATGTTGACTTGGAATATAAAGAGACATCTGCTACCTTACAAATATGAGAATCCACATGCTGCAGATCACATCAGCGTATCAGGCAATATGCAAGGTATATTCCATAATGTGACACTGAAGTTAGTCACAGAACAAGCAGGTCAGATGAAATTTTGTAGTTTTCACAGTTATCTATTATCAGTAATAACCCCAATTTTTAATGCTTTTAAATTAGGATTACAAAAAATATAAGCTTCTCTTTTCTGCACTTGGAATTAATTACTAGGCCTAATGGTACTGAAATCAAAATGAGGGCAATTTTAGAGTAATTTTAAATTAATGATTCTACAATTAGTAGACTTTTTTTTCATACTTTTGCACCTCTGTCCAATATGACTCAGTGCCTTTGAGACAGTTTGGTTTAAATTCTGAGGAATATGTATGAAAGTTAATAAAAAAGAAGAGGCCCAAATCACACACAAACCTTTGCCTATTCCCAAGTATGTTCATGGTGTATGGGTGGCTGAGATGAATTCTGCCGAGGTGGTTTTCTCAGAAGTAATTACATAACTCCCTTGTGCCCCTGAACCATTCTAAACCCCAATCCAAGCCCTGCTCATTACTTAAGTATTTATAAAGCCTCTACAAGACAATGTTCCACCTCACAAAGCTTTCCTTAGGAATAGTCAGTACTTCGGAAAACGTGAAGGTTGCTGTGACTTCACAGGAAGTTTTGTGCTGCATAAAAAAGAGGTGTGATGTATTTTGCACACGTTTTTACACTCAAGTGCAACATATGGCATGACACCCCTTTCAGGCACAGAACCACAGAAATCTGTGGCCAAACCCCATGCTTTTGACAATTTTAACTTTTCAGATTTTGCTAATTTTATTTATTTAGCTGAGCTAATTGTTTCTTTGGTAGGCCAATATTAAAAGTGTGGTTTAATTAATGCATTTTAAAAGAAAATTCATTCAGAGGGCTTTAAGTATATAACTAGGGAATGTGCCACTTCAAATGAATGAAAAACATTAAGGAAAGGTAATTTTCCTCACTTCTAGAGTAGTTTTGCTATGCTTCCTAAGTGACAGACTACACCAAAAGGGCTGCATACATCAGGGTCAAGGCTTTAATTTATTGTTAGGAAGTAATAACCTATTTTTGACAATGCCAAGTTATTTTCTTCTTCCTGAACATCTTAAGAATTTAACACTTTCTGTAACAAAAAAATGGTTCTCAATAGTATAAAATATACTCTCTGTACAGCACAAGGCTAAAAAATCCTGACAAGTGACATACCTGCCCCAAGCTGCTTTCATTGTAGAGTGTTTATCAACAGGAATGCATGAGGACTCAACAACACTTGATTTATTCAATTTGTAGCAGAGACCACAGTCTGGATCCAACATACATCCATTGCAGTAACTGAAAGAGAAAAACATAAATACTTAAGCAATACATCCTTCATTTGTGGATGCCAAAACCAACAGCATCTCCCAGTAAGTCTTGGAATGCACACAGTTAAGTTGTCAGGGTTGGAGACAAGACCAATAAGTTCTCCAAAAAGTATCACATATTGCTTTCAACCTCTTCTGTAACACATTTTCGTAGTCCATCTGCATCTACCCTGTGATATCTGATCAGGTTGCAGGAGAATTCATTCATACAATAAATTTAAATTGAAAAATGACAGATTGGAGTTGAAGAAAAAGAATCATCATAGAATCATGGAATGGTTTGAGATGGAAGGGACCTTAAAGATCATCAAGTTCCAATGTCCACTGCCGTGGGCTGGGACATCTTTTACTAGATCAGGTTGCTCAGAGTCTGATCCAACCTGGCCTTAAACAGTTCTTTGGATGAGTCATCCAAAAGTTCTCTGGGCAACTGCTTCAGTGACTTACTACCCTCACAATAAAAGGACTTCTTCCTAATGTCCATCTAAACACTCTATTTCAGTTTGAAGTCATTCCCCCTTGTCCTGTCAGACATCACACCTAATAACCAAACTAGAATTTGGGCATCCATGGATGTGAGTCAGTCAGTGATCACAACACTACATGTCTGTCTCTGTGAGCAAACTCAGCACCTAAATTTCCACAACATTTGATGGAAGGAGTCATTATGTCAGTGGAGACAATTCATATACAGGTATCCAGTGCCCAAAAATGTCCCATCTACCTGTCACTGCAGAGTGTGCAGGGCTCTTGCAGGTTATCCTCATGCATCACACTTGCCAGCTCTGTAGAGATGTCTCTGATTTCATTGAGAGTCCCAATAAGCAGGAGATGCTAACGTTCAGGCAAAGCTTCCCCAATGCCATTCTGTTAGTTGCTCAAAGGTTGAGACAGCAAAACTGTTCTCTAGATGCCCCTGGCTGCACTGACCACATCCCCACTGACTCTTCTGCCAGCCTAGACACCAAGGGCCCTACAGACACTTCACTGAGGAGCCAGTCCAAAATCTCTCTCTAAAATGGGACTGATGGGGATGTAGGTTATGTGACCTACACAAAATCTGACTGATGGGGATGTAGGTATGTGAGCTACACAAAATCTGACTGATGGGGATGTAGTTATGTGAGCTACAATGGCATCCAAAGCTCCCCATGCAGTGCAAGTTACCTGAAAGCTGCAGGCACAAAGCCCTGCAAGCACTCACTCATTGCTCCTGTGATTAAACTACACAGGTATTTATCTTCCCTGGAAGCCATTTTAGATTCAGACACACATTTTCACCAGTAAAGCCCCTGAATATCCAAAGGATAACTTCAGCCAGTAAAAATTAGAAAAAATTAGGTACTGTAAAACATAGAGTGACCCTGGAAACTTGAAAATAAAATTCAACTTTGAAATGCAACATCTGGAAACATATAATTAAGGTGACCAAAGCAGCTTTAACATACACTCCTGTAACAACAAAATCAAGGAAATAATATTTTCTGAGTGTGTATCTTTTCTTTAACACAAGAGGGAATTTGTGAATTAAGGAATATCTTGCTTAAACTACTTAAGCATTATGAGAAAAAGTAGAAATAACTGTATAACAAAGTCTCAAGAAACTAAAACAGCAAAGCAGATTAAATGGATATAAAAAGTCTGAAAGTATATGCTTAAAATCTAGTTATTCAAACTCTTTGTATTATAATGTTTCTAAAATACTTACAAGGTCAACTCACATGGCAGATGGCAAAAAAAGGGCTGTGTTAAGAAAATTTTCTTATTTCTCCCAATTTTCAGAAAAGTGTGCTCTTCGTAAATTATTAAATTACTGCTGAATTTCTACATTGTCTACATTTAGAATATAAATCTATTTTAAACACACCTTCCTCTGCTTAACTGATTGGTCAAATTCCAGTCTAAACAGTTTGAGGTTTTTTAATTAGGAAAGCTGCATTAAATCTGTTCTTAATTGAGATATAGACTGCAGAAAATATTTTTACATTGGAGATGAAACAAAACTTTCAGATAAAAGCCAATCATTTTATCTAACTGTAGTAAACATTTCTTCTCTTGCAAAGATAAATGAGAAAATTGTAATTCTGCAATTAGGAATTTTCAAAGGAAAGGCCAATACTACTCTTACAGTAGTGAGATTTAGTTGCATTTTGTTACATTGATATTAGTACATCAATGGGCAGTAACCAAAAGAGTTTACAGGAACAGAAGACTGCAAGTGAATTAAAACATTTTTATAAATCACAAATGTATTCAAGTATGCAATAATAATCCAAAAATGTATAAAATTACAATATTTTCTTATATTGAAAAGAATCTCATGATGTCAAACAGGATTCTAACATATGATTTTCAAACTATAGAACATTTTCCACTTGAAATGATGTTATCAAAGTGCCTGAAGCAACATGAATTTCTAACAAGACACAGTGATTAGTGTGATCTTTATGGTGTTACCAGCAGAGGACAGAGACTGGACACCTCCTGGTTCCCTCAGGTTCTGCACAAGAATCAATGCAGAGATGAACAGCAGAGCTGAATTTTCACTCTCTGTTCCATCCTGCTGGGTAACTCCACACAACCTCATGTAGTGCTGGTATCAGTTAACCAGTCAAGTGGGAAACACAAGATATCTTATTTATTCCTACTCCCATCCAGAAAAAAAAAAAAAATAGAGATTTGAGTATTGATTACAGTGTCTGTCTACATGGCTGCTGGTTCAGCTGATCCTCTGGCTTTATTGGATATTGTAGAATAATTCAGGTTGAAAAGGACCTTTAACACCATCAAATCCAACTGGTCTTCCTGCTGGCATTCAACAAAATAAAGGCTGCTGGATTTCATGTTTTGCCAAATGTCAGAGTTTATACAGAGCTACTCCTAACAATTTTACTAACTTAAAATGATTCTTTTCCATGTTTTTTCTGAAGTTTGTCTTTCAGATTGAACAGTTAAATAACAGCTCTTTATAAACCCTTTATGTTTGGGCTAGGATTTCCTGTCATCCTATACAGTAAGTTCATACAATCAGACTCTGACTTCTGATTTTAGAGACAAGATCCATTTATGCCAAAGGAAATACAAGAAATCTAACACACAAGACTTAAAGCCACTTCAAATCTAACTAATCTAACTTCCAGCAGACTAAGAGCAGGCAGTTGCTATTCAGAACATTTAGCATTCTTCTGTGCCCTGTCTTATCACTGATATAAAATTTTATGTTGTCTTTGATGAGGGACATGGCCATTGGTTTTTCCAAGATGAAGACCAGAGGTTTTTCCCTCCAAAACATATACACATTAAAATTGTTTCATAACACAATACAGAAACCTCTATCAGTTACTAACTCTAATGATAACAGAATATGCTGCATGAAATAAGCAAGGAAGATTTTTTTTTTCAAAGAAACAGTTAAAAAACAAAGACACCATGTGCTGAGGCTGTTCACTCTAGAAATAAAATATATTGTAGTTTCGGGTTTATGCTCTTCTTCCCTCTAGCCTCATTATTATCTGCTAAACTATTTAAACAATTTGAAATTGAGCACATATTCTGATATACATGCTCATAGTGATATAAATAATATAGGCTATAGAATATATCAGGAAGAGAAATGCACAATTTAATATTTATTATGAGATGAATACTTATATATGAGATGAAACTATCTCTACAGAGCTCATTCCTGCTCTCAGAAGCACCTTATCAGTTCTATCTATCTATCTATCTGAGGATGAATCTTTAAAAATATTGGTTATTCTTCAAATCCACACCAGATACCAGTTATGAAAGTAAAGCTCTATAAGAGAGTACTCTTTCTCTATATCAAAGCTCTATATAAGAGTACTCTTGGATGTCTAGGTAGGAAAGGAAATTTGCATCCAATTACAAACAGGAGATATGCTTCCTCTAGTTATCCTGAGATATTTCTATTTGTGCTAGGTTTATGAGCTAGTGTCTTGAAAACAAGTTCATCTGTGAAAAGTCAGTTCAAAATTCCCAGGTAGGCTGGTGGTCTGTAAGACTGACAATTCAAGATTGAAACACCTGGGAGAGATGATTTGATTTTGATGAAACCAGGCAGCAGTACAGCAGAAAGGTTTTACAAGGAGCCTGTTTCCCTCCCTGCTTGCCAGCTGGGCTCCTAGGCAACCCAGACAAGGCAAGTGTCTGGACTTCAGATGCTGCAGCCCTTGAGGCAGAATAACAATAACCAGGCTCCAGAAGTCCAAAAATGCCCAGCCTCTCTGCAGATCCGTGCCATGAGCTCAACAGAACAAAGTAGCCTGACCTCCCAGTTTATGGGGAGCTGCCAAGGAATGGGATTTCTGCTCAAACATCACAGCATGTTTGCTGAGGAGCTGATAGACTGTCACAGAGTAGATATCCCCATGTTACTGTGATATTTTCGGAAAAATCCCTTCACCAGGATTTCTTCTCCTGGGAAGATGAGAAGCCTCAGCTTCTCCATGTTTTGTGATCTGGAGATTGTTTATCCAAACATGTGAATTGTTTTTACTTAATGACCAATCACCATCAGCTGTGTTGGACTCTGAGGACTCTTCCGAGCTTTCATTATCATTCTTGTTAAGCCTTCTGATATATCTTTTCTCTTCCTTTAGTATAGTTTTAGTATAGCATTTTTAATATAATATCATAAAATAATAAATCAACCTTCTGAAAACATAAAGTCAAATTCTCATCTCTTACTTCGTCCTGGGGACCTCACAAACATCATCCCCAACCCTGTGATTCCTGACTGATTCTACCAACACACTCAACACATGTCCCCTTCATCCAACCACACAGCAATAACTGATATCTAGAAAGACTGACAGCACCAATTTTGAGGTTCTTTGACAGCAATTTCTTGCCAGGCTGAGCAGCAGCAACTTTCAGAATGCTCTGCTCTGGATCAGCCTGCCCAATTAACTGCTCCTGGGGTTAGAGGTTGATCACAAAGGCCAC